CAAGATAATCTAATAGCACCTTTATCAAAAAATATAAGCAAAATGTAATTATTAAAAATAAAAAAAAAATTCTAAATAAATGAAAAATTTGACCATTAAAATCAAATTGAAATCTGAAATTATTCACTTGATTTATAAAAGTAAATCAATATCCATAAAAAAGAAAATCATAATTTAATTTTGAATTTTCTTCAAGAGTAATTTGATGGCAGCTCTAATATTTCGAAAAATAGATTTTTTATCATTCAAATTATCTGTTTTGCTATTTGTTTTGCTATCAGCACTGTTGTTTTTGTAGGTATAATTGGATCTTATATTAACTTGTTTATTACCTGCAGTATTTTCCAAAGGTGTAGTGCCAATTGGAAGTTTAAATTTTTTTAACAAAATTTCTTTAAATCATTTTGACTTTTTCGAGCCCAACTTTTTAAATTGTATATATATAAATAAAATGATTATGAAAGTCACTGTTGTAATTATCAAATATTATGGATATGACAATGATAGGATAAACACCAGCCAGAATATAGTTGCATAAAGAATTTTTTTCATGCCGATTAAAAAGAAGTACTTGGAATTTCAACATGATGAGTAATAATGTAAATCACATGGATAAGACCTATAATAGTCGTAAATAACAAAAATTAAGATAAAAAATCAAAAATAATAATAATAATTAAGATAAAAAAAATTGAAAATAAAATAGATACCTGGAATGTATCCAAAAATTGTTAGGAAGATGTTAAGACACAACTGGAAACCACAACCTTTCAGTGCGATTACTCCAAAAGGGAGAAAAAAGATTAAGAGAAATATCAAAAGAATAATATTATATGGTTTATTTGAATCTGAAGACATTTTGAACTGTTCTATTCAAGTTCAGCTTCTTATATAGTGATGAACTCTAAGTGGTATAAAGTCTCAAATAAGAAAGTAAACAAATACAAAATAGCAGTAAAATACCATTGAATCTCAAACTTAAAAACTGGTAGAATGCAAAATGTTAATAAAATATCATTGAATCCAAAATTAGAAAACAAGAATGGTTATACAATCAAATCACACCAAATTGGAATAATCATAGATTGAACAACAACATCTCTTGTAATCTCACCCAAATAGTTATACAATCAAATCACGCCAAATTGGAATAATCATAGATTGAACAATAACATTCCTTGTAACCTTACCCATTTACAAAACCCAGAATAATCATGTGAAAAATTACTCCTATTTTAATTTATCTTATTAAAAATAATTATACAAACTTTCTAATAAGACATTCAAGCCCTATATAGAATAAATGAACAGTTTCGCAAAAATAATTGGTCTTTAATGAATTATATTTTTTCATCAGATACTTTATTTAGAATAAATAGATAGATAAATTAAATGGAAGATGCATTGTCACAATTGATTTAATAAATCCAAAAATAGATGTGATTTCATAGATACAAGTAAGTATAAAAGAGTGACAAACTCATTTATAGTGACTTTATTCAAAAATGTTAAATCCAAATTATTACTTATACTCTTAAATTCTTGCTCTCGCAATCGTTTCTTATTGGCAATATTCAAATGTCGATAAGATAATTTTTTTCATTCTTTTTTTCATTATTTTTCATAATCTGACTAAACATATATTTTGGATAGTTTCTGGTTTCTGGTTTCTTCTTCATTTCTTATACCCAATACTACGAAAGAGATTACATGCTAATAATTATTTGCTGTATCATTTCAAAAACATTTGATACCATTCTTATTGAAAGAAAAAAATCAGAAATTCAAAAAAATTTGATTGAAAATCATAAGAGAAAAACAAAAGACGATTCAGAAAATACTCTCCATTAAATAATTATAAATAATATAAATTGACATCACCTCCTCTTTTTTTAACTCAATAATGGACAAAATAAATCTTGATAACCCCCTATGGAATTGACATCTTACATGCATAGTTTCAATTCTCCACAATTAACACCTGGCATATCTAAAAAAACACATTTTAATTATGAATATATCATCAGCTCTCTCAGAAAGGTCAATGATACTTACAGAAACCTTAATAATGATTTGAATCGCACGGTATTGCAGTTACAAAGTCAAATAGCAGCTGCTGAAAAGGAAAAGAGAATACAATCTTTAGAACTTCATAAAGCTAATATTATAATGAAAATCTTTAGAAAAAAAAGTGATTCATTGAAAGAAAAAGTGGAAACCTTAACAGATGAAATCAAATTAGTAAAGGATCAAAATGATTTCTTACAAAGGAAGTAAAAAAATTACAAGATTATATTGAACAATTAATTTCAGCTAATATGCCACTGATGATAATTTCTTAGATAAATTTGATTATACAATTAAAATTTTTTGTTATTTGAGTGAGAAATTTTCCAACTTGTACCTATAGGATATTATTAACTTTTTAAATAATGAAATAACAAAAAATGCCCTATGGCGTATTTTAGAATTTCTCAAGAATAGAAAATATTATATGTTTGAAATCCTTTTAGCACATATTTTATCTATATTTTTCTTATTCATTTTATTAAATAATAACAATAGAAATCTCTTATGTGTTATTTATTAATATATTACATTTCTTATTTTTTTATTCAAAATCATTTATATAAAAATAAAAATAAAAATTATAAAAAAATCGAATTATGCGATTCTACACATGTATCTTATTCATTTTAATAACATTATTCTTCAATAAAATATATTTATAAAAAAATAAATCATGTCAAAAATTGATATGGAATGAGATTTCATCAATTTAACCTATAAATAAATAAAAATCTTATTAAAATAAAATATATAAGATCAAATCACATATATAAAATTACATACAGCAACTCAATTTTCATTATTTCATATTCTGACTCAATTTTCGTTTTCATTCTACATTCTGACTTTGGTCCACGTTTTCAGGATAATTCTTTTCTCACACAATTAATACCCTTTGATTTACAAACTGAGCAAATAACTCCATCATCACAACGAATCCTCTTCCCAACACAATAATCACAAGCCATCATAACATTTTTTCTTGTTTTAATTTTCATTTTTAACTAAAAATTTATTCAACTTTCTCGATTTATTTATACTATCATCGGAAAAACAAATAAAACTTTATTAACTAAATATACAATAAATCTTGATTATGGAAAAACATAAAATTTTATTAACCAAATATATACATAATAAATCTTGATTGCAGAAAAACATTAACCTATCACAATTTGTAAGATATCTAAAATTTATTAAGAAAACATTACATGTGGCAGAAATGCCCACATATAATATTTATCAAATATATTGTTAGCATGGAAAAATGTATGGGTCATTAAGATCGCTAATGGTTACGTGACATGGCGTGATCCATCAGGCCTTGCATCAAGAAGCCTAAATAATTTAATTGAGGATTTGCAGGATGCGACGGTATATCAGCATATGTGTCACAGCGGGTATAAATATGGGTGGATTAGCTAGTTAAAGTAGAGTTAGGATTCATATTGTATAAACTTGTACCTATTGTATTTGCACGAGTATAATTAATAAACTTACCTTAATTGGATATTAGCCACTGTAGAATTCTAGAAGCCCATAAAGGATTGTAGTAGAGGATTAGACCGGTAATAAGAGAGAAAGGAGTTTATTAACAAGTGCCTCTGATTAGTAAGCGACACAAACCCCTACATACCTATCGTTATACAACGACCTAGTCCGGAGCAGCGGCAGACTTGCTGTGTACTGATAACAATATACAATAAATCAAATCAAAATAATATTAATTTCTAGCATATGAACGATACCTTAACATCACCCACAAATAATATCCTTAACCTTTTGCATTAATAACTTATCAAATAAAGGATTTTTATGAAAAGTCTCCTCATTATTCAAAAGAGCTTTAAGAAATTTATCAAAATCATTAATAGATACTGTTATTAGAAATGTGGTATTAATTTAAGTCTTTATGAGAAAATCCACTCAACATTGAGTTATATGAAGTAATTCGATCAATCTCCACATTTCACTCCAATATCTTCGCTCCTGCCTTCCATCAATACAAAGAATAGTTATCATTTTCTTCACAACAAGACTGCGTAGGATTTTTGATATAGGTGGAATCCCATTCTTCTGTTCATAATTCATTGTAAGTATCACAAGCAATGACAAAAATGGTTTCCGAAAATTGTATTTATTTTCAACATGTTCTCATCAGCTTTCCGCTTAACCAATCCAAGTTTATTATATTGAACGATCCACTCCTTAAAGTAATTCTCCAACATCTCAACATCCAATGTTAAATATAATGGCAGAAATGATAGGAATACAGATGAAAAATAAATATTATTATTATCAAAGAGAGAATAAAAATTGGATGTAAGAAAAGATTTGACCGAATCATTTCTCGAAAAAAGTTGATTGCCACATATATCCAATTGATCCATTGTAACATCAGTAAAAATTTTTTTTAGCATATATGCTCTACTTGCTAAATCATCTATATTATATTAATTAAAATTCAAATTTTTCATTAATTAAAATTCAAATTTTTTAATAATTCAATAATCTTTTAAGAATTATCCTTTCAAATCTCACATATCTCAGTATCAGATTGTCGATTCTAAAAATACGATTATTAGATAAAATAATTATAATAAATATCATAATAACATAATACTTACATTACTATTTAACTTTGAGGAATCAATATCAGTCAACAAATTCTGCAATAATATTACAATTCCAGACATAGGTTGACTCAATCCCAATGAATCATTCCTCTCCAATAGAACTTGAATATCATTACTTGCTAAAACTTCTTTCTTTCCTTTAGATCCAGAGAATTCAGATTTGACCTATTATTACAACTACATAAATTTTATTTCTATTTAATTAATAAAATTCAAATAATACCTGTTTCATATTTAAAGATCTATACTCATGACAATATTAATTTCTAGAAGGTATTTCATCAATTAAAGGATTTAAGCAATAGATATGATAGCCATTATCACAATTATCATCACATAATAAAATATGAGCTGGATCACTTTTTCATTTACATCTGAAACATCCACAAAATCTACAAAATTGTTTTTGCAGTCTGTAATACTTCTCACAATCAGACCAATCTTCATCTCTCTTATCTTTATCTTGCCAATTTTTTAATTTTTGCTTTAAAAATTTACTATTAATATTTTAATTAAATATAATTAACAGCACATAAATATCATTAAAATATTACCTTGTTAATATGAAATTGCACATCTTTTACAATCTTTCCCTTTGATACTCTGAAAAATTTATTTAACTTCAAATTTCGAGAGGGGTTTTTTCTCCAAGGTTGATAATTCCAATTGGCACTTGTTGATAAAGAAGTTTTATCCTCTTGAGATTGATTGCTCTGATCAACACCTATCAATAATGCAGTTTCCTTCTCTCCAGATTGATTACTCTGATCGACGCTTGTCAATAATACAGTTTCTTCCTCCTGAGACTGATCACCCTGATCGATGCCAGTCAATGGCACAGTTTCCTTCTCCCAAGATTGATTATTTTGATTGATACTAGTTGATAGCACATTTTCTTCTTCCAAGGTAGATTATTTTGATTGATGTAGTTGATGGCACAGTTTCTTTTTCCCGAGATTGATTATTTTAATCAACGCTAGTTAATGACACAGTTTCCTTCTCCCAAGATTGATTATCTTAATCGATACCAGTCAATAGTACAGTTTTCTCTTCTTGAGATTGATTAACATCTGTTATCTGATTGATATCAGTAATTTAACAATTTTATAAAAATTAAAATAACTCATTAAATACCTTAACATTAAATCATAAAACCATACATGAATATGATTGACAAGCTCATTCTCAGTTGATGTGGTATCATTATCAATGTTTATAAGATTATCTTTATTTGAGATGGTAAGTTTTTTTGATATCTGAAAAAAAACAACCTCTTTCAAAAGAACCACACCCGGTGCATCAATTTTTATGACTCGAACTTTACCATAATTAAATGTTACATTTATTGTTTGAGTTTGATTGAAAATAATCGAAACAATCTTTCCATGAGTTGCCTTTCATATAAGATTTACTGAATGATACACAATTTCATAACTATCCTTTATCATTTCGATAATCATATTTCAAGAAGTGTAAAAGAATATTTAAGTTAATTTTAGTTAAACATTTACTTATAATATAATATGATATAATTTCATCATTAGAATATTTTCTCACCATGATTATAAAATCAAAAAAAGCAAATTCTCATATAATTTCACCAAAAATCGAGATGTAAAAACATCATTACAAGAGAAAAAAACAAAAATAATTATTTAATTTATATGAATTACAGACATATAAGATCATATGTATGCAATTATTACAAATACCTGATATGTAAAAGGATGTAGAAAATACGAAAATTAATTTTATATAACATATTTATACAACATTATAATCATGTAATAATACTTATTAATTTATTATAAATATCATGTAACTACAATAGAATTACATATCTAAATTCTCAAAGATATCATCATCATAAGTATTAATTACATCAGAAATCTTCTGTCTCTTTAAGTTAAAATTATTATCATTTTCATAATCTCTTTTTTTAGATCCACTCGACTCACTACCTTCTAATTCGCAAACATCAATCTCTTTGATAATTTCAATATCATCAAAATCAACAACTCTCTCATTAAGCTTTTCAATAATTTCAAGATATGTAATAAAATCCAAAACTAACCCATCATCACTATTTGAGTCAGTGACTACATATCTATTATTACTTTCAAAATTCTCCTTCCAAATAATCTTATTGCCCATTTTTAATAATTTACCCTTTTTACTTAATTTTTTAACTATTCTTGATGCATATTCCTGAGTAATGTTCTCATTAAACTCAATATCAAATTCTAATTTTTGAAATATTCCTTAGATCTCTTATAAAAAACCCTTTGCACCTTACAATATACACATTCTCTACTATATACAGGTATATTATCATCGATATATCTATGATATTCAACAACAAAATCAAATCTTCTTTCAACAGCTGAATAATATTTTCTATTTGGAGTTCTATACCCATTTGATTTTACATAAAATGGCAAATCCTTCCAATAATCATATAATTCATGTAATCCAGAATTTGAAGTAAAAACTTGATACATTCCAATATATTTATGTGATGAATTTTTCACTTGTACCCTTAATGAAACTTGATCAAGAATGTTGAGTAAATTTTTCTATAGGGCCGATCCTTATTCCATTTTATTAATAATAATAATATGATTATTATTATAATTTTCCCACCATTTCCAATCATTCATAGATTTTTTATATACATTAGAAAAAACTATACTACTTCAAAAAATCTTTCCTGTTCTGGGAGTTCCAAATATATAAATATTATATGGCTTTCAATATCTTTCTATAAATTTATTATCAATATTATCCACCGCCTTTTAATCCTATCTATACTAATAGTAACATTGATAGGATCATATGCGCATATTTTACAATCGTTTCATCAACATTTTCCTTTTTTATAATTTTATTTATAGTTTCTTTCATATATTCTATTTTCAATGATTTCATATTCTTCATATATTTATTAATATTATTATCTACTTGATTATTAGATCTGACTAATATATCTCCAAACTCCCAAGGTCCAGAATTAGTGTCATCCTTATTTATATCACATACACATACTAGGGTTCTTGTACAATTTTCATCACATTTATCACACATTTTCTCTAAATTAAAATAATCGCATTTATAACTATTATGATTTTTACAGTGATTATATTTCTTACTGCAATAATCTCTACACTGTTCCGGTATCCCATTCACAAAATTTATATGAATGCTATTTAATTTAAATAAACCTTTAATTCCAAACTTGTTAGTTTGAGTATATTTTTCAATTCTCATCTGATCCTTTAAAATTGCAAAACCTTGTATATAAGAATGATCCTCAGAACCCTAAGCATTATGATTAAATTCTATTTGAAAAATAATATATTGAATTGGGTTATTATTATTCTAATGTATATTTTCTATAATTTTTAAAAATGATATATCCATATGTTCATACAGAATAAAATTAAAACACCTAAATCTTGTTTTGAATGTAATATTCATCTCAGATTCAATATTTAGACAGACTTAAAGAACTCTTTTTATATTTTATTATTATAACATATGTTTATTTTTTTGAAAATAAGTATTTCAAAATTACCAAAAATGAATAAGCTTCATATTAAAAATAATTTTATTCCAATGAAAATAAAAAAGAATAGAAACATTCAATAAACTCTAAAAATATTATCCAGCAAAAGTTATATTAAAAAAATGAGGTTGATGATTATGTGTTAGAATATGAGAAAATTCATTGAACACATTCAAAAATGAATTTGTAAAGTTATCAGTTGCATTAGAAAAATTGATAAAAAAATTCAATTGAACAGAGAAATTAAAATAATTCAAAAAAGTAATAAAAAAAACATAAAATTATAAAAAAATAAAAAAAAATTGAAAAAATTGCTTGAATCTCATTCCAAAATATCATTTCAAATAGTACAAATTTTTCATAGAAAATATGAACCTGATTCTTCCATAGCAGATTCTAGTTCATCCTGATCACCAAAATCGATAAGCGACACTTCTTGTCATTTATGACGTGTCAATTCAACTGACATTTTTATCAAATTTATATACAATATAATGCTGATTAATTGAAATAATTTTTTTTATTCAAAAAGATCTAATAACCACTCTATATACTGTATATAAATTTATAACTCAGAATATATATGTAACATTTAATGTGTGGAGACATTATAATGTTAGGATTAATAAAGGAAAACTTTATTAAATATGAGAGAAACCAGAC